AAAAAAAAAAAAAAAAAATTGAAACTAGCATGATTGTATACACATGTAATACCAACATACTCAGGAAGCAGAGGCAGGCTGATTCCCGTGACTGTGAGGCCAGCCGAGTCTACGTAGTAAGTACTGAAACAGCCAGTATTACATAGAAAAACCCCATCTCAAAACACTTAATTGAAACTACCTCCAGATGTGCAAGTCCCAAAGCCAAAAAAGTTAAGTGTACGTACACGTGTACACACACACACACACACACACACACACACACACACACACACACACAAAATAAACTTTAAGTTAACTACAAGAGCCAGGCAGGCCACTGCGCAAGCCTGGAGACATGAGTTCAATATCCATGGTGGAGCAAACTGACTTCCCAAAGTAGGACCTACACACACGTGCATATATGTACACATGTGCCATCTTCAGGCCATGTTCCGAGTGTACTCGCACCCCATAATAAAAGGATGCAGAAAATGACAATGATTAAATAATTCATGTATCTGTAATAACGTGAAAGTTTTCTTTCAGCTGTTTCCAGATCCTAGCAGTGCTCCCAAGACTTCTAACTTACCAAGCAGTGGGGGTGCCAGGTCTACCTTTTGATCTAATATTGGATCTCTGACCCTGCTTCTTGACATAGTGCTCCTAAATCTCATATTCTAAATCTTGGTAAAGATATCACCAGCTAAGCCGCTACTTTCAGCTTAAAACTGTCAGCCCTACCTAGATTTTCCTCCAGGGAGGGGGAAAGAGCTACTGATTGAATCAATATCCATGCTCACAGGAGTCTCCATTAAAACTCCTAAATTATGGTATTCGGAACAACTACCAGGCTGGCATCCATTCCAAAGGGTCAGAAGCTTGCCTTGCCTACCTTCTCTTCTGGCTGCCAGTATGGATCCTTGATAACAGACTTGAGTTCTTATGAGCTGTACAGGAAATTCCCAAACCCAAGAAGGAAGCAATGAGAACCCTCAATATGTAGTCAAGTCCGGCAGAAGAATAGATAACCTGGGGACCCGCTACCTGCAATCTCTATCAGTAGTGCAGGGGGCAGAAGGTAGAGGCAACCTTGTAGAACTGTGGGGGCACAGGTAGGTGATGTCATCACACCATGTCCAAGTGGAGTGCAGAGCTGGAAAGCAGCTGCTTTAGAGGGATTGTGTGAATGTACAGGAGAGAGAACAAAAGCTGGTTATTTTCTCTTTTAGTGCAGTAACAATTTTTTTTTTTTTTTTTTTTTTTTTTGAAGACAGGGTTTCTCTGTGCAGTTTTGGTGCCTGTCCTGGATCTCACTCTGTAGACCAGGCTGGCCTCCAACTCACAGAGATCCACCTGGCTCTGCCTCTAAAGGTGAAGGGCTTTGAAGAATCCACCAGGCAAGAGAGGAGAAAGCAAGCTGCCTGCTTGTTTTCCTTTATTTTATTTTTTATATTTATTTGTTTGTTTGTTTGGTTTGGTTTTGTTTTTTGAGACAGGGTTTCTCTGTGTAGCTTTGCGCCTTTCCTGGAACTCACTCTGTAGACCAGGCTGGCCTGGAACTCACAGAGATCCGCCTGCCTCTGCCTCCCGAGTGCTGGGATTAAAGGCGTGCGCCACCACTGCCTCGGCCTAACATTTTAAAATATTAAGTGGGAGGGGAATATATCTCACCACATAATGACTGTGCAAACTTACATAAGCACAGAAAGTCAGACTAAATAAATATGCCAAGACATTGACCATCTTATGTATGTGACCAAAGAGGTCATTTCTTTTTTTAATTTTCTACAGTACAGCTATTCTCACAACACTAAATGATTAAAAGAACTGAGAGCCATTAGGAAGAAGCTCTTCTAATCCACCAGTCTCTGGAACATTACTCTTCAGCTTTCCCTAATAGAAAAGAATGCAATTCTATATAGTAACACCACAATGCCATAGTCAAATTGTTTTCAAATAGTGTTTTTATTCCAAATGTTTTTTACTGCAAATGGTTTTAACCAATTTTTTTAAATTTCAAATTTGGACTGGCTCAGTGGTCAAGAGCCCTGGCTGCTCTTGCTGAGGACCCTGGGTTGAGTTCCCAGCACCCACATGGCAGCTCACAACCATCCAGAACTCCAGCTCTAGGGGATCCCATTTCTCCTTCTGAACTCCTTGGGTACCAGATATGCAGGTAATGCATATAAATACATGTAGGCAAAATACACCTAAAAGATATTTTTACATTTTAATTTTAATTTTCTCTTCAATATAACAGAACAGTTTTTAAGCACACCAAAATTCACATATAGAGTGTTATATGCTCACATTTGCATTCATGTTTTAGAAAATTACAGTTTAGAGATGAAAAGAAAGTGAATTCACACTTCAAGAGTACTTAGGGGGGACTGGAGAGATAGCTCAGTGGTTAAGAGCACTGGCTGCTCTTTCAAAGGTCTTGAGTTCAATTCCCAGCAACCACATGGTGGCTCACAATCACCTGCAGTGGGATCTGGTGCCCTCTTCTGGCCTGCAGGAACACATGCAGGCAGAACACTGTATACATAATAAATAAATCTTTTTTTAAAAAAAAAAAAAAAAAGAGCACTTAGGGGAAAAGCACTAATCCATGATACATTTTCTACCCTACACAGATTATGAAAATACTAACATTTTAAACTTAAGACACAACAATCCTACCTCAGGAGCTATCAGTGCTATTTTAAATTTTAAATTAAAGGTAATAAATGTTATTGACCAGGTAGTCAATCTTTTCACTCCTTCAACCCTAGTTTGCCAGTCAATTCTAAGTAAATAATTTGCAATCCACTTAAATAAAGCTTTCTGTCTCTTCAAAAGCCCCAGTGCCATCTCTGTTATTACTCCTCTGCATGCAGCACTGGGAACGTACCAGTAAATCCACATACTAAAGTCTCATCTATATGTCTCTAACAGCACGGAGCAGTCAGGAGGTCTGGCCTGAGATGGTGGTTAGAAACCAGGTCTCTGTAGGAAGAGCACCCACACAGAATGCCCAAGGAGCTGCTCCTTCTGTAGGTAACTGTTCAGCAGCTCATCGTTTGGGACTTAAGCTCTTACACTAAGGCCCCAAAGACCAGACTAAAATCCAAAACAGGGTCACTCCTGCTAAAAGAAGCTCTGGACATCAAGTAAAACTAACCTGTTCATTTCCAAGAACTCAGGAGAGGAAAAAGCTGAATGTCCCAATCAGCCCAATTTCAATGGAGGGAGTAGGTTACATCTGTTTAAGTCATTACC